ACTCCCGTCAACAAAACCCTAAACCCAGTTGCAGAGCCGCCTTGAACATACACCTGTCCCGCGCAACAAAGGAGCCCTCATTTAGGGTTTAGGGTTTAGGGCAGTAAGCGGAATCTGAAGACTTTGCGGCTTAGGGCTTGGGGTCTGGCGCGTTTCCCTCCCACCTAGCTGACAGCTTACCCATAGGCCCTAAAGTAGTTCCTTTTTTGGGTTCATATATAGAATCCTATAAGGCAATCCCCAAAAGGAACTACTATGGGGCCTATGGGTAGGGTGTAAGGCTTCGGATTTTGGGTACAACGGCGGACCTGCCAAGCGAGGGGCAGAGTCGCATGGAAGTGAGAGCTATGCGGTCAAAAGTATATATGGACTGGGTACTGCCCCCATACAGTAACAGTCTATAATAAGGCTACTATTAAGGGCCTAATATATTCATAATACAAATCTTATCCAACTGTTACTGAGTGGGAGCAGTACCCAATTTAGGGAACTGATTCCAACTCCAGGCAAGACATCTTGCGCGAGGAGCCCATCATAGGGACTTCAGCTAAGTATGTGCGGCCCATTCAGATGGGCTAGCCAGCAGGATGCTGGGGTAACAACTGGGCTCCAAAAGTGAAACTTACGCATCATAGTTAATAAGCCAACTCTGGGTGGGATAGTTTAATCAACACTCGGGCCCGCCGATATTGCTAGTTCCTATTTTATACTGAACACGAGCCGGACGCTCAGGTAAGTTGAGCCAGCTTATCTGTGAGACTTGTGTCGGCAAAGCTTGATACCTGAATCCCTGCTGTCCACTTACGGTTGGAGGTACAACAGGCAAAGAGCCACATATGGACTTCCGAATAGTTGTACATGTCCACACCCAAGCTGCCTCACAGCTTTCCCTGCACGCCCAGACGGAGTATTGTGGAATCAGCGACCGGGCGGTGAAGGGTGTTACACAGACATCAATTGCCGAGGTGGAAGCCAAGGCCTTGCGTCATCATCCCTACGTGCTTGCCCTACAGGCGGTCGAGTCTTATACCTGCCCTCGCTCCCCCATTCCACCGTGAGAACCCACACCACGAACCCCCGGTCCAGTGCTGATGGAATGGCAAAGCAGAAACCTGGATTCGCCCGCCGGCCACACTGCTGTGAGGGCAAAGAAGAAGGCTGGGCATGTGCCCACGGCCGTGTGCCCACCTTCCTCATCGCCACTCAGCGTCAGCAGGCACAACTTACATGCACTGAACAAGTACGTACATCCTGGATTGCCTGCGACGCGAACACTCGTGTGACACAGACTTCTGCAGGACGGAGATGGTCGTGGGATTTGAACCCGCTGCGCGTCTGGTGATGTTCAGTGCGAGCGGCCCAGGTACAATTTGGATGTTTCGAAACGCAGA